TTCTGTGGTAGGCCGCTTGGCAGGGTGAATCGAAACCTTTGTTCACCACCTTTGACCCAGTAATTCTCGTTCTAGGAAGATATTACAGCTAACAAAACAAAACAAAAACAAAGTGTGGAGCATGGTTTGAATTCATTGCAACATTGTTTATCATAGCAAAACAGTGGAAACACTGAACATGGCCCAAGTGAGTGAATTCAGTCAACAACAGGACAGTGGCACAGGGAGGGATATGATGAGTCTGTTAAGGATGATAATTATGCAGAATTGTTAGTGTTGTGCAAGAATATTTATACTCTGTGATGCAAAACGAACAAAGGAAGATGCAAAGATCTGTATGTACGTGATCCTTGCCATGTAAAATGAAATATTCACAGAATAAAATCTGAAGTCATGCACCAAGTTGCATTCCGTGGTCATCGTGGGGTGCTTCCTTCCTTCCATTTGCATTCCTGCGGATGTGCTTGTTTACAACCTGAAAAATAAAGCTCCGAAGATCTAAGGTCGGGGAGAGGAGACCCTGAAGAGAGGGAGACTGGAAAGACAACTGTATCTTATCTTGAGCCCTCGCCCTGCGTCCCTGCCCAGGGGTGTGTTTCTCTCCATTTCCCAGGTCTCAGTTTTCCTCGTCTGTAAAATGGGAGAGAGAGGAAGAGAAGGTAGAGAGGGAAGAAGGGAGGGAGCAGAGAATATGCCTATTTCATCAGGAACGGGATGTGTAAGTGTTTCTGAGCATTTCACAGGTGGCAAACAAGTGGAGAGGGAGGAGGTTTTCTGGATGTGTAGGGCTGGCAGGAAGACAGGATACCCGAGTCCCCCAAGGGCCTGCCCAAGGTGAGCAGCCAGCATTCCGGTGCCAGAGGAGGATGAGGGGCAAACCCGGGTAGGTGGGTTCCTATTCTCAAAGAAGACAGGGAAGGGGCCTCTGGAAGGGAGAAGGGAGGAAGGAGAAGTTGTTTGTGACTCAGAGCCTGGCCACACCCCAGGCCTCCTGCCCTCACAGGCTCCCTGGACGGTCACACCTCAGACGCTGCTGACAGAGGGATTTTCAGCCCAGGATCCACCCCTCCTACCTGTCTTTCCAGTTTCTCCCCCAGAATTCCCTCCAAGGCAACATCTTCCAGATCCTTCCTCTCCTCATCTCATGTCCCTCTTGAGTCTCTCCTAACCTCCCCCTCTCCTACTCTTCCTCATATTGCAGAATTTCTGCAGGTACCAATTCCCTGCACACACGAGGCAAATGTGCTTCCTCCCACAAAACACTGGAGCCAGGGCCCCAGCTCCCTCCTCCCTCAGACCCGGGAGTCCATCCCCCAGCCCCTCCTCCCTCAGACCCAGGAATTAGGCCCCCAGTCCCTCCTTCCCTCAGACCCAGGAGTCCAGACCCCAGCCCCTCCTCCCTCAGACCCAGGGGTCCAGGCCCCAGCCCTTCCTCCCTCAGACCCTGGAGTCCAAGCCCCCAGCCCCTCCTCCCTCAGACCCAGGGGTCCAGGCCCCAGCCCTTCCTCCCTCAGAACCTGGAGTCCAGGCCCCCTGCCCCTCCTCCCTCAGACCCAGGAGTCCAGGCCACAGCCCCTCCTCCCTCAGACGCAGGGGTCCAGGCCCCAGCCCCTCCTCCCTCAGACCCAGGGGTCCAGGTCCCAGCCCCTCCTCCCTCAGACCCAGGAGTCCAGGCCCCAGCCCCTCCTCCCTCAGACCCAGGAGTCTGCCCCTGGCCCCCTCCTGCCCTTGGATCAGTGTCAGCTTTAAAGACTGTCAAGGGGTTTCGACCACCCACCTCCATGAAGCTCCATCAACTTCCTCTCTCCAGCAAGCCATCCCAAAACAATAGTTAGTCTAAAATTGTAAAAAGTAATAAAACATTGCAGTTGCACTAAGTCTGCCTGGGAACGCCTGGCCCTGCCCCCCAGCAACTCCTGTCCACAAGTCTGGAGGTGGATCAGTTTGCAATGACTTGAGATAGTACTCTTGTTGATTTTCTTAAAAAATAACCTCATTTTTCTCCGGGAAGACAGTGTAGCATAGTTAAAGTACTAACTCTAGAAACTGGGGTTCTTGGGTTCTAACCCTAGTTCTGGCAGCTACAGGCTGTGCCTTTGAGCACGTTGCTTCTCCATCCCTGTTCCTTCATCCTTGAAGTGAGAGAAACAGCACCTATTTCCCAAGGCTGTTATGGAGACAAAATATGCTTAATATACAGAAAGTGCTAGAACGTTGTCTGACCCAGAATAAGCCTTCCATGAGTGCTGGTTTTTATTAGTTGTGACTTCTGGCACCTTTTCTGGCTCATACTCTCATAGTTTTCTTATCAAACGTTTTCTTCATTGAAGACTTTTGCAGAGCCTGTCAATTTGGAGAAAAACATCCTGTAAATAAGCCGGCGTGGCATGTGGTGATGGCAAAACCATGAAGGCCACGGGCAAAGCCTGGAGCTGGGGACTTCATTCTCTCTCTTAGAGGTTCCTCCACTCTCCACCACCTGCCACCTCCCTCCACAGGACTCTCAACAGTTCCTCTCAAGTCCACCGGTCCTGTCTTGTAGGAAGGCAGACTCGGTGGGGGCGCCAAGAGGTGGGCCATGTCCACCGCCATGTTGGAAGCTGAGTTCCGATCCAGGCTCCACCATTTCCTGGGTGTCTGATGTTGAGCAATTAACTTCCTCTCTCTGAGCCTCAGTTTCTTATCTGTAAAATGAGAGTGGGCGTAATGAAGTCATTTCATCGTTTGGTCAACATTTCCTAAGGCTTCTTCTGGGCCAGGTCCTCTGCCGGAGCTTGGGACATAAGGGTGAGTCAGCCCCGGTGCCTGCCCTCAGGAAGCTCAAGGTTCAGTGGGGGAGATGGACTTGGATCCAGATGGTCGTGGTCCAGCGTGTCTTGAGGGAGGCACCTGTTGTGGGAACATAGATGAGAGAGTGACTAACCCAGCCGCAGAGGGTGGAAGTTGGGTGGCGTTCAGGGAAGGCTTCCTGAAGGAGGTGATGTCTGAGCACAGACTTGAAGGACAGGTTGTTGCTGCCAGGAGAAGGTGAGAAGAACACTCTGAGAGAAGGGAATGGAATGGATGGAGGCCTAGGGGTCAGAGGGCATGGCACAGTTCAGGGAAACTTCAGATCATCTCCAAGGCTGGAGCCTTGGGTGATGAAACAAGTGAGCAGAACCGCACTGTGCAATACAGCAGCCACTCACCACGGTGGTTCCTGACTTGTGAAATGTAGCCAGTTCCCATTGAGATGTGCTGTTAAGTCAAAAAGATACATCCAATTCCAAGTAACTATTATGCAAAGCATAAGAAGGCAAGGTATCTGTTTAAAATTTCCTTATTTTGATTCCACCTTGAAATGATACTTGTCGGATGTCTTGGGTCAAATGAAATATTAAAATGAACTACTCTTGTTTCTTTTACTTTTTTTTTTTTTAAACTGCAGCTACTAGAAAATTTAAAGGTACATGTGTACTTGGCATGATATGTGTACTGGGCAGAAGTGCTCAGGATACTGAAGGTCTTCCAACACCAGGCTGAGGGGCTGGGAATTTTTCCCAAGAGTAATGGGGGGCCCAGGGCGGGGCTGTGAGCAGGAGGGGGGCGGGAGAAGCTCTGGGTGCAGGAAGACCCCTCTGGGGTCAAGTGAAGGATACAGAAGAGAGGATGGCCCAGGGTGATGGTCCAGGTGGGAGAGGAGCAGGTGTGAGCTGGGGCCACCAACATGGGAACAGAGAAGAGGGGACCACACAGAAAGAGGAGGTGGTGGGACGGGGCTTGGGGTCAGTGGACTATGAGAGGTCCAGCCTGGTGTCTGGGAGGATGGTGGGTCCTGAGAAAAAGATGCTGAGTTCAGTGGGGACCTGAGTGTGAAGGACCTGGGGGAATCTAGCGGGGGTAGGGGGAGCAGCCCCAGAGCGTATATTGAATGCCAAATTGGTTTTCATCCCAAGAGTGATGGGGGCTGAGCCAAGAAGTGACAATTAGATTTAATGCAAGAATAAGAGGTGAGGTGGGAAATTATTAACATCAGTTGTCCTTGCTACCCAAGGGCTTCCCAAGATCCCCCTTTTCCTTCTCAGGCCCTGCATCTCCCCATCCCTGTGGTGGCCACACCCATCTTCATTTCGCTTCAGGGCTACCTCTGCTGCCACCGGCCGTTTCTGCACGTGCCCGGCCTTTTCACCCCCTCTCTTCCTGACCACGTTCAAAGGCACCTCCTCAGATCCCCTCCTGTAGCTTGCCGGCACCCCCATTTCTCATCACACTCCTCTGTCGCTCTCAAATTTGCTTGCAATTCTGCTTATTTTCACATCTCTCCCTACATGTTGAGTCTCATCGACAAAGGCTAGGATCCTAGTGTCCCACCAGCTTCTCCACTGCCCCTGCCCCTCGTGTCATCCCCCTTAGATCCCCAAGCACCTAGCTTCCCTCTGCCCATATGCATATGCTTCTCTGGAAATGCAGGGGGATCTGGGGCAAGAGGAGCAGAGAAAGATTTAGAGAGCATCCATGAAGACTTAGAAAATCAAGAGGAAAGAGAGATACAGAGAGAAGATGGAGAAAGAGGCAGAGGGATAAAGAGACACAGGCAGAAGCAGAGAGAAGCACAGAGAAACATGCAGACAGAGAGAGGGAGAGACGGACGTGGAGACATCCCCACCACGGCCAGGGAGACAGATGGACAGAGAGACCTCAGAGGGAGGCAGACTTGGAGGAGGTGAACCCGGAGGGTCAAGAGTCCTGATATCCGGGCAGAGGTGGGTGGACAATGAAAGGACAGCGGCAGGACTGTCAGACAGGGACAAAGGGAAGCTATTGACACAGCCGGCCGGCCGCCGGCCTGCCTGACTGTCCGGAAGAGAAGTTGAGAAACGGGGCTGCTGGGAGCATGGCACTGGGTGCTGGGGGCAGACAAAGCTCGATTGTTCGAGGCCCCGTTCCCCACGGCGCCTGGGCCTGCACCCCAGCCCAGGGCAGGGGCGGGTGCCAGCTTGGTGACACATGCTTTCTTGCTGGCTGGCTCACTCACTCTCGTGGGGACACAGAGGTCGTCACACCACAGAGGGACTTACGGGCAGGTGCGTGAATCACCCCAACCCCGCTGAACCCACATGACCTGATTCCCAATGCCTGAGGATGGATGCCAGCCTCAGGAGGGAGGGTCTGCGGGTCCCAGGGTGCTCACAGACAGAGTGGGTGGGATTCCTGGAGCCTGGGGGACTGGGCACTTGCCGGGGATGCTGGCGTTTGGGTCCTCAGACACTTTCTTGCTCAAGGAACAGGAAGCCTAGGGGCTGAGGAGCACAAGCTCTTATCTTTCCCTCCTTTAGACTCAGGAGTGCGGACTTCTAGCCCCTTCCTCCTTGAAGGCCCAGAATTCGGGACACTGGCCCCTCCTCCCCAAGACGCAGCAGTCCAGACCCCCAGTGAACTCAGGGACTGGTGCTTGCCTCCCTGGAAGAGGGGGTCATCAGGATCAGAGCCGTGGGAGCGGGAGGAATGTGTGTGGGAGGGCCGAGTGAGAAGTTAAAGGGTGGGGCCTCCTCTCTCAGGAACCCAGGAGACAGGGGTTAAAAGGAAGCCCCAGGAACCTCTGAGGACAGGACCAACCTCTTCCAGGGAGACCAGGAAGCTCGGGGTGCCCGGGTGTCCAGCCAGCAGTGTGGAAGCCCTGGACCCCAGGACCCGTACACCCTCTGCTTCCTCTCTCTCTTTCCCTGACTCTGAGGCGTCGTCTCTGCTTTCAGAGTCCCTTCTCTTCCTGTAGCTACCTGCATTTCTGACTCTTTCTGCCTCCCTGTCTGCCAGCCTGTGACACCTGTTGCCCCTTTCCCCGACCCAGGAACCCCTGGGCTGGTAGACTGCCAGCCCCCAGCAGGTAAGGTCACAGGGCACCCCAGAACCTGCAGGTGTGGTGGTGAGCAACAAGGTGAGCGTAGAGCCAAGGTACAGAGGAAAACTCCCTCTGCGTGGGGAGGGATGAACGTCAGGGCCCCCCAGGCCTTCCTGTTAGGAGGGAGGCAAACCAGAGCCTAGAGAAATGGAAAAGCTTAATGAGAATCGCGCTGCAAGCCTACAGACCCTCGGAGGTGATTCTGGGTTCTCGCTGGTGCACAGGGCCCTCCCATGGAAGACGTGGGCAGAGGAAACGCGCAATCAGGAGGCTAGCCAGAAGCGGAGGGTCAGGAGAGCACAGCAGGCCAGGGAGGAGGAGAGGATGGGGAGGGAGAAGAAGGAGGGGCCTCCGGTGGAGGCTGAGATAGGAACTGATGGAGCGTTTGGCTTCCCCCCTCAGGAATGGGCATGAAGACGCTGACCATAGCTGTGGTCCTGATTGTTGCAGGTGGGAAGAAAGGGAACAGGGGTGGGAGGTTTAGGGGTCGGGTGGGGGTTGTTGACGGGGAAGAGATTGGCTTTGGGGAGGGAGAGACACATGAGAATGGAGGTGGGGTGGGTTTGGAATGGGGAAGAAGTCAGAGGCCAGGTTAGGGATGCAGAGGGGGAAGGGGAGTGGGAGGTGGGTTTAAGGATGGGGAAGAGTTTGAGGATGGGGTGGGTTTGGGAGGTGGGGATGGAGGTGATCTTGATGACTGAGACAGGATTGGGTCCCCTTTGGGGGCTGCACCTGGTGTCTCCAGACCTCCTCTCTGATCCAGACCCTCCCTCCCTCAGCCTGGGCCGAGGAGAAGAACAAGGTGATGCATGGCGGGCCCTGTGAGCAGACGTCCCACCCATACCAAGCTGTGCTCTACAGCTCCGGCCACCTGCTCTGCGGGGGGGTCCTCATTCACCCCCTGTGGGTCCTCACCGCCGCCCACTGCAAAAAAACGTGAGTCTCCACGTGAATGAGGCCATGAATGAGGAGCTATTGCAATTAGATCCCAGGGGCGTCTGGCAGACGTGAGGCATGAAGTGACACACACATCCCCCAATCCCAGCGTGAGGCCGTCTGATAACCAGGTTCATCCAGCCTGTGTTTAACTGAGTGCAAAATATGCACCAGGCACCGTCTGAGGCCCTGGTCATCTAGCAGTAAAAAACAAACAAACAAACAAAATTGCTGCCTTTATGAGCTGACCTCCTGAATGGGGAATCAGATCACGCAGGGCGCCTGTAGGGAGCGATGGAGCATTTGAACTTGACTGAGGGCAGTGGGAAGCCACTGGAGAGTTTTAATCAGGGAAGCAGCACGATCTGGTTTGCATTTTTAGGGACATCCTGACTACCATGTGCAAAGCGGGCTGGGCCGGAGGAGGGGAAGGGATGCAGGTGGAGGCGGGCTAAGCTGACAGCTTGGACCAGGATGGTGGTGGTGCGGATGGTGGGAAGGTGAAAACCTTGGGAGGTATTTTGAGACTGAACCAGCAGGACTAGGTGAGGTGGGAGAGAAGAAGCAGGGCTGAAGGTATTTGACTTGAAAGATGATGGGGAGTTTTGGTGTGTCCTTCTCTGAGTCGAGCAGAGGGAAACAGAAGCTGTTTGGATACTGGCAGGGGAGCGTCAGACATTTTTAGCCAAGGTGAGTTTGAGATACCCGGGAGATGTCCAGGAAGGAGGCCAGGTCGGCCAGTGGTGCTCGGGGGAGAGGCCAGAGCTGGAGGTAAACAGGTAGCATTTAAAGCCACGGGACAGGATGAGGTCATCCAAAAAGCAGGGAATAGATAGAGGAGTGTAGAGGGCCCGGCACCAACTCTTGAGACACTAATCATCACCAATTAGATTAACAACAGTTGTTCAACGCCATCTTCAGGTCAGGCGCCAGGTTAAGCAGTTTCCATACCCTTCCTGGAATCCCCACAATAAGGGACTCCTGGTCCCATCTTGCAGATGAGGAAACAGAGGCTCAGAGAAGTAGAAAGTGATAACTCAAGAGTTTGGAAGCCAACAGGTGCGATGCACACTGTGGGGGGAGGGGCCTCGTCACACAGAACCAGGGACTCAAGGCTGCCCCCCACCGCGTGGTCTCCCCGCAGCTCAGGGAGGCCTGACATCACCCCCTCCATCTTCCTTCATTCATTCGGTGCACATTGATGGAGAGCACCAACCAAGTGCCAGATTTGGGCTGGGCAGTGGGGAATCAGCCATGGATGAGGGAGGTACACTGAGTGCCTGCCCCAGGGAACCCAGGAGCAGAAAAGTGCAGAAAGATAGTTATTTAACAAATCCTCGAAAAATGACACAATGAGTTGCTGGCAGAGGGGACAGCCAGTGCAAAGGCCCTGGGGTGAGAGGATGACTGTTATGTTCAAGGAAAGGCAGGGAAGCCAGTGTGGCAGGAGCAGAAAGACAGAGGGGAAGAGTGGGAGGAGACAACTGAGAAGTAATAGAGGAAGATTGTGCAGGACCTTGTGGGCCCTGGTGAGAACTTTGGCCTTTACTCTGAGTGAGATGGGAGCCGTGAGAGGGTTCTGAGCAGAAGCGGGACCAGCTCATGTTGTTAAAATAGCTCTGGCTGCTTGGTGGAAGGTAGACTGTGGAAGGGCAAAGGCAGAAGCAAGGAATCCAGTGAGGCAGCTACTGCCACAGTCCAGGTAAGAGAGGACGGTGGCTCAGACCAAGATGGTAGCAATGGAGGATGCGAGAAGGGTCAGGTTCTGGATCTGCTTTGGAAAGCCAAAGAGATTTCTAGACAGCTTGGATGTGAGGCATGAAATAGAGTCAAGAATAGTCATCGGGGTTATTTTGGAAGGATGGAGTTGTCATTGACTGAGCCAGGAAGACTATGAGGGGAGCAGGCCAGATGGTTCATGGCATACCGGGCTTGCTCCACCTCCCACCACAGCCCCTCTGGAATCTCTGCTGCAGCTCAAGGGCTCCAGGTGAGACTCAGCCCTCCTCTTTCCCAGGGATCTCCAGGTCTACCTGGGGAAGCACAACCTTCAGCAAAGGGAGAGTTTCCAGGAGCAGAGTTCGGTTGTCCGGGCTGTGGCCCATCCTGGCTACAATCCCGCCACTCACGACCAGGACATCATGCTGTTGCGCCTGGCACGCCCAACCAGATTCTCTGAACACATCCAGCCCCTGTCCCTGGAAAGAGACTGCTCGGCCAACCACACCAGCTGCCACATCCTAGGCTGGGGCAAGACGGCAGATGGTCAGTAGGGGGAGGACGGTGCGGGAGCAGGTGATGGGTCATGGGTCATGGGAGAGGAGGGCTGATGGTGAGGGCCAATGGGGCGGTGTATCAAAGGGTGAGAAGCCAGTGGAAGAGAGGGAAAATATGGGAGTTGGGTCAATGAATGAACAGCCAAATGGAGAAAATAGACCAACGGGTGAATGGTATGGAGAGATGGGCCATAAGATGACAGATCAATGAAGAGATACTAACAGGAAGGAGGCCAATTGTGAAGAGGGGCCAATCAGGATGCACCAAAGATTAGGAAGGGATACACGGAGGAGGGACTAATGGAAGAAGGGAGATCAATATAAGCAGGGGAGTCAGCTGAAGGATGTGAACTGACAGGGGGAAGGGTCAATGTTCAAGAGGGCTCACTAGAGGAAGAAAAATGTCCAACAGATCTGCAGGAACCATTGAAGGTGGGGCTGTGAGTGCAGGGCCAAAAAGGAAGGGGGACCATTAGATGAAAGGCCAATAGGAAGGGAGAACCAGTGGAGAAGGGCAGGGCCATTTAGGAGAGGACCAATGAGGGAGGCGGACCATTGAATGAAGGGCCAATAGGAAGGGAGAATCAATAGGGAGGGCAGGGCCATTTAGGAAAGGACCAATCGGGGAGGGGGGACCATTGAATGAATGACCAATAGGAAGGGAGAACCAATGGAGGAGGGCTGGTCCATTTAGGAAAGCACCAATCAGGGAGGAGGACCATTGAATGAAGGACCAATAGGAAGGGAGAACCTAGGGAAAGAAGGGACCCGTTGGGAAAGGACCAGTGATCAAGTGGTGACAAATCGGGAGGAGCTAATGGGCAAGAAGGGTCCAATGAAGGATGAAGCGGTATAATAGAGGGGGGACTAACAGAGGAAGAGCTTCTGGAGGTCAGCGGGAACTGCTGAAGAAGGTGGGACCAATGGAAGAGAGACAAGCGGAGGAAGGACCTAAGAGAAAGGAAAAACCAATAGGAAATGAGGACTCCCGGAGGAGGTGCGATTGAAGAGGAAAATAGGCCAATGGGAGGGAAGGATGATGTAAAGAGGGACCAATCAGGAGTTAGGGCCAAGGAAAACTGGTTTAAGAATGAGAGGCAAATGGGAGGAAGGGAACCAGCGGGAAATGGGGACCAACACAAGAAGGGCTTCTGGAGGAGTATGCGGGAAGGGCGAGACGTGAGGGGAGCCCGGCCCATCTGTCTCATCAGGCAATTACCCTGACACCATCCAGTGCGCATACATCCACCTAGTGTCCCGTGAGGAGTGCGAGCGCGCCTACCCCGGCCAGATCACCCAAAACATGGTGTGCGCCGGGGACGAGAAGCACGGGAAGGATTCCTGCCAGGTGAGGACACCGGGACCTGCCCGTTACACAGCCAAGGACAGAGACAGGAAGAGACGGTCACACGGACCACGCTGCAGCTTTATCGAGACCAGCTGGGAGGGAATCAGAGGCACGAGAAGGGAGAGAGACTCAGTCCAAAATACAGAGACACAGTCAGGGGCAGGCGGAGATATACAGACAGCTACTAGAGACAGGAAATGCAGAGACAAGGATGGAGATGGAGAGATCAAGAACCAGAGGGTCATAGTAAGGTGACGGGTGGTGTGAGGGGACTCTCCTTCTTCCAACAGAGTCCCCACAGGTCCTGCATGGAAACGGCCAAGCTGTCGAGGAGGGCGACCCTAGCTAGGGAGAGGGGCTCTCCATCCCCACTCTCAAATCCCTTTAATTTGGGTTTCCTCCACCATCGTGTATGGGGTCTTTCCTCTTTATGCCAAAACTGAGCCCAGTGCTATGAAGGATCTGCAGAGACCAGTGGAGAGGGAGAAAGAGGCAGACATAAGCTGATACATAGCGAATCGGACACAAAGAAAGGGCAGGCAGACAAGCCCCATTTCTGAGACTGTCCTCTCTTTAGAGCTCTCTCTCTCTGTCTCTCCCTCCCTCCCTCCCCATCTCACTCTGCCCCTGTGCCTCTCTCCACATCTCTCAGTCTCTGTTCTGGACCTTTATTCTTTCTTTTTCTCTCTGTTTCTCCACATTTCTGAGTCTCCCTCAGTCTCTCTCTGTGACTCTCTCCGCGTGTGTCTCTCTCTGTCCTCAAGGATTTCTCTCCATCTCTGAGCGCCTCTCTCTCCCTCTCTCCATGTCTCTACGTCTCCTCTGTCTCCCTGTCTTTCTCTCTCTGCATTTCTGTATCTAACTCTCTCTCCTCTTTCCCGTAGGGCGATTCCGGGGGTCCGCTGGTATGTGGAGACCGTCTCCGGGGCCTCGTATCATGGGGCAACGTCCCCTGTGGATCCAAGGAGAAGCCGGGAGTCTACACCGACGTCTGCAGATATGGCCACTGGATCCGAAAAACCATCCAGGCCAACTGACCCTGACATGTGACACCCAACTCTTGACCTACGACCCTCACTTGCTGGCTGCAGAATATGTCTGACCAGGACCTTGCCTCCCCCCCCCCCCCCCCCCCCCCCCCCCCCCCCCCCCCCCCCCCCCCCCACCTGCCCAGACCTGACCCTTAACGCTTAATAAAGGCAGTGACGCGACAGCAAGAACCCTCCCTGATTTTAGCCCATCCTCACACCACCGGGTGCAAGTGGGGACATGGGCTAAGGTCTTACCCCCTCCACTAGAGAACAGAGGAAAATCCTTTCCAAGCTTCCCTCCCTCCCTGATCATCCCATGGGCTCGATCTCTTTCTGCAGAGGAGTGGCCGCAAGTCTGGCCAACCCTGAGCTGGAATCCCAGCTCTGCCGCTGGCTTGCTGTGCACCCTCCGGAGGTGCCTTCCTCGGCTGTGTCGATTTTCTCATCTGTCAAATCAAGATAATAATAGCGTATTTCCCATAAGGCGGTGGCTGTTGTTGGGCAGATTGAAAGTTTCGAATATGTGAAACAGGTGACAGTGCCTGGCACACTTGTGTGAGCAATAAAGAGCGAATTTTATTACCAGTGGTGCTTTTTGCTTTTGTCCTGCTCCTGCCTCTCTGAAACCCAGATATTCTTAGCTCCCTTTTATAGCCCAATTTGCTTTTTCCTCTCCTCCAGGAAGACACCCTTGATTGCTCCACCTCGTGCTAGCCCTCATGGGGTGGCTTTCTCCCCTAAACTCCTATTGAGGCAAGAGCAGCAGGGAGGTGAGAGGGCTGGGAGACCGCTGTGTGTGGGTAAGAGTGATGGAAGATAAGATGGGAAAGGAGAGCAGGGACCAGGTCCCAAAGGACCTCCGACCCCAGGGTGAGAGGCTGGACTTTCTCCTGAGGGCAAAAGGAGAGCAGGGACCAGGTCCCAAAGGACCTCCGACCCCAGGGTGAGAGGCTGGACTTTCTCCTGAGGGCAATAGGGAGCCATGGCATCATGCATGGAAGAGTTGTGAGCAGGAGCAGCACTGGAACCATGTGTGGGATGGACTAGAGGAGAGAGACTAGAAGCCAGGGAAGAGGTTGAGGTGATGGTGCAGGCAGAGAAGGTGAGGGCTGAGCTGGGACCGAGGCTGCTAGGGCTGGAGAAGGGAGACTGACTATGTGGTCACCATATGGAGAAAGTTGGGAGAGTGGCATTCTCAGAGAGAGAATGATCTGTAGAAAAGCCTGGGGTGCCCCAGAGATGGCAAATCATCCAGGATATCGGGAGCTGGGGTTTGAGACGGGAGAAGTGGGCGACATGACAGGGAATGTAGGTCAATGGAAGACGGTCCTGGGCAGAAAAACTTAGCCTTGATCCTGGGGGCCTGGAAGAAAAGAAGGACAGGATCAGATCTGGGTATTAGAAAGATCTTGCCATGGTCCATTTGGGGGGGTGGGCAAGGAGGAAGAGAGACTGGAATCCCCCCAAAGAAATAAGGGGAGCAGACAGGCAGAACAGGGCAAGGACTCAGTCTTCCGCATGCTTTCTGGGGTTCTCCCACCAAGAAGCACCATGCATGATGCCAAACCAATGCACACACCTCTACCCTAAGCCGCAGGCCTGTCCCTGTCCTCAGAGCGTCTTCTTCTCCTAACCCCCACTGCACCATCTCTGAGGAAGACAGAATAACATCTAAGCCAGGTGTCTTCCCTGGGACCCTTTGGGACAGGGACTGGCTCCCCAGAGAGAGGGAACAGAGGGGCCCACCATGGGAGCTGGAGTTAGGAGCAGAGAAATATTTAGGAACGGAGAGAGAATCAGAGATGATAATCCATCTGTTGCACAAATATTTTTTGCAATCTGATTTTTGCCCAGCACAGAGTAGAATTGAATTGGAAGTGATTACACAGAGCAACCATGCCACAGGAGATATTCACAGTCAATCAGGGGTCATTTTGTGATGGAAGAGTTATGTGGTCCAAAGACAGAGGGAATATATGAAAAGAACGGAGTCCTTCGGTTTCAAAGGTCTTTAGAGTTGAAGAGAAAGCAAACAATGTCTTAAAGTATGAATTTTTTTTTTTTTTTGGTGAGGAAGATTGGCCTTGAGCTAACATCTGTTAACATCGTCCTTTTTTTTTTTTCTCCCCAAAGCCCCAGTACGTAGTTGTATATCCTAGTTACAGGTCCTTCTAGTTCATCTACGTGGGATGCTGCCTCAGCATGGCCTGATGAGTGGTGTGTAGGTTTGCACTCAGGATCTGACACAGCAAACCCCGGGCCACTGAAGCAGAGAGCATGAACTTAACCACTATGCCACCGGGCCAGCCCCTTAGATATCTCAAGAACCAAAGGAGGGGGAAATTTTATCAAGGGGATGATAAAGGATGATAAAGAAATTTTATCAAGGAGGGAGCGGTTGACTTGTATGAGATTATGGCAATATTAAGCCATGTGGATGGCCCGGGCTTGCCTTGACCAATCCCTTCTAGAAGTTGTGAACGATAAATAGGGCCATGAAATTCACTGGGGTCACCAGGAGGAACCCAAGCCATGAATGTCCAGACAAAATCAACCTCAGTTAACTGAGGAGGAATCATCTTTCTTTTCTTTTTTTTTTTTTTATTTATTTTTTTTATTGAGTTATTGCTAGGTTACAATCTAGGAATCATCTTTCTTAATGGATAATAATAATGATAAAGACTTACCCAGCACATGCCAGCCCTGTTCTGAGAGCTTTACATACATTAACTCATTTAATCCCCATAGCAAGCCTGGGAGCTAGGCACCATTATTGTTCTCAATTTACAGACAGGGGAACTGAGGCACAGAGCCACAGTTGGCCCAAAGTCCCGCAGATTCTAGGTGGCCAAGCCAGAATTTGAAGGCCACAGGGCTAATGCCAGAGTTCGGGTTCCTACACGCTCTGTTATGCAAAAGTCTTCTTTCAATGCTTATATGCTTTCGAATTGAGCCTAGAAATGTGTAAAGCCTCAACCCCTAAAGTGAATATTTTCTTGAAGCAGAACCGCTTCACATTTGGTATTTAAGGTGATACGACTAAGAGAATTTTACCAATTACGGGGGGCAGCCTTGTGACTTCAGCTTGAGATGTATCCCCAATCTGTGATTTTTAAATTGGAGTCTCAGCAAGTTTACAGCCGGTGTCGGGATACTGGAAAGAACGCGGCATTGGTCATATTCATAAGTGTAATATATGCAGATGTAGAAATTGACTTCAATGCTCTGGAAAGTTTGTCTAAAAATTGAAGGGCTTTCAGAAGAGATCGAACGTGTTGGTTTTAGAAATGCAGTTTATTTTTTTGTGTCTTTTTTTTTTAAAGATTGGCACCTGAGCTAACAACTGTTGCCAATCTCTTTTTTTTTTCCCTGCTTTTTCTCCCCAAAGCCACCCAGTACATAGTTGTATATTTTTAGTTGTGGGTCCTTCTAGGTGTGGCATGTGGGACACCACCTCAGCGTGGCCTGATGAGCCGTGCCATGTCTGTGCCCAGGATCCAAACCTGCAAAACCCCGGGGCCGCCGAAGCGGAGCGCGTGAACTTAACCACTCGGCCACGGGGTCGGCCCCTAGAAATTTAGTTTAAAATGTCTGAAGACATCGAATTAACTTACTTTGTAAGTGGGGCCAAACGTTATTATAAAGACCTATCCAGAATTAAAAGACATATCTAGAATAAAAAGATTTGTTAAACTTAATAGACTAAGAAAAAAAGTAGTTTGCTGGATTGGTCATTTTGATGCATGAACTATTGATTGCCATAGTCGAAATAAACCTCAGAGTTTTATTTTTTAGTTTTGTTTCCCTGCACGCTGAAACCAGCCTCAGGGCTCTAGAACCTGCTGTCCCACAGGTGTGGGGTTGTAGAAATGAGCAGGCCAACTCTGGGTTTGCCCTCAAAGGATGTGGGCTTCAGAAGGACGGCATCTCCAGGCGTCCTTGTCCGTCCTGTTCACAGGCGGATCTGAGCCTGGCATCCAGTATGTGCTCAGTAAACAGGTGTTGAAAGAGTGTTTGCCTCTCATGTCCTAGTGGGGATGGAGAAGGGAGACACCGTCAGAGATGGATGCAGAGAGCTGGGAGCAGAGAGAAAGAAGAGCGGGAATGGAGAAGAGGCCAGGAGAGGCAGCCCCAGATGACCCAGGACTGGGGAGGGAGAAGGCACCTTTTGGGCTCCCCACCCAGCGCCCCATTTCCCAAAGAGCCAGGAGCCACCTGTCCCCAGCGTGGCCTGTTGGTCTGTTTCCCCATCGACAGGTGGCCCTGCCCAACTCTCTCACCCACGCTCGCTCGCTCGCTGGGCCAAGGCACGTGCAGGGGGAGGGGGTGCCCCCAGACTGGATCCTACCCCTTTCTGCCACGTGGCCCTGGCCCCAGGGCGAGGGGCAGGAGAAGGGATGGAGGGGTCCCTGGGCAAAGAGGCCTAAGTCTTCCGGGCCCAAAATACCAACACAAAGGGCAGAAAGACAAGAGAGAAAGAGAGAGAGGGAGAGAGCGAGCGAGAAGGCTACAGAGACAGAAACACAGAGAGAGAGGCTGAGAAGAGTCGGGTCACAGAGAAAAGAGACAGAACAGAGAAGGAAAGATACAGAGACCCAGAGGGGTGGAGGAAGAGATTCATCGAGACTCACAGAGACACTTAAAGGAGAAGGACGAAACTTTGGGGGGCGATGGATATGCTCATTTTCTTGATTGTGGTGATGGTTGGATGTGTGTACATCAAAGACCCATCAAATTGGACACATAGATATACACAGCTCATGATACCTCAGTTACACTTCAATAAAGCTGCTTAAAAAAAAATAAAGCAGAAGGGAAATGAAGGAAAATGAAAGGCTTGAGAATTCTAAGGCATGTCTGACATATAAAGCATTCAGAACCATTAAAGAGAGAGGCACGGAGACACATAAAGACGCAGAGGGAGAGACAGGCAGACAGAGACATGTGGAGACACAAGAGAGAGAAAGAGGGATCCTAAGAGAGAGAGGGAGGAGGAGCGAGAGACCCAAAAAGAGATATTCAGTGGAGAGCGGATCAGAAAGATTCAGAGGGAAGCAAAAACAGAGAGAAGGAGGGGTAGAAAGAAAAGTTTGAGAGAAAAACAGAGGCAGAGTTGGAAAGATGATAAGGAGCAGGAGGGAGGGAGGCGGCACGAGTGGAAGGCGCAGAGAAGAAAGAAAGATTCTTGCGCCAAGAAGGGCGCCCCAGAGCTGTTGAGACGCCCCAGCGCGAGGCTGGGGGTGGCCGGGGAGGATAGGCGAGACCTGCGGGGACCCCTCCCCATCCCCGGGCCAGGGAGGTAGGGAGGGGCCTGGGTGGGGGGGTGCTCTGGGGGCGGAGGTGAGGGGAGGCAGGAAGAGTGATTGCTGAGGCCCGGCAGGGCGCCTCACTCCGTGGGAATGCGCCCCAGGGAGCAGTAGGTGGTTATAACCCAGGCCGCGTGCCCGGAGCCGAGGAGGAGGCGGCGGGACGGCGCCGGCCTCAGAAGTCTGCAGCCGACCTGGGAGTAGGTTCTGCACCCCCTACCTGGGGGACGCGGCAGGTGAGGCCTGGGGATGGAGACGGGGGGCGGGGGGCGGGCAGAA